ACAACAATCATACCATGACAATCATTTTCTGCAACAGTTGCCAACACCCCCATCTCTGTGAGGGGAGTCACAAAACAACACAAGTAGGATACAACACCTACAAGGATCGACTTCAAGACAATCAACCAAATATACTTCACCAATTTACCAAAAGAAATTCACCACTATATTAACCAAGCTCAAATCAGCAACACATCAATTGAATCACAAGCAAATATGAATTATAAATACGCAAGTGACACACAAGATTTATACGTCGAAAACCCCTTCGGTATGAAGGATAAAAACCACGGGACTTGAAGGAGTCCACCCTTCTTCTTCTCTTATTATGCAAATTGAGGGTAAAAACACCCAAATCAGTCTACAAGGATGTCACAGCCCACCAACAACAACATACATAAGAGCCAACACAAAAGAGAAGAGAAATTGAGAAATATCACCAAAAAAAATGCAGGTTACGCCAGCTGCGATAACAGACGATCAAGAACTCCGATTGACGATCTGAACGGTCAAGATGTAGTGCTATGTGTTGTGAACCAGCTGTGAAAATTTCAGAACGATCCAACGGTCGGATCTCTTGCAATCTGAAATTTTGTCTCGCTGTCCAGAAAAATCAGCAACCCTTTTCTCTCTCAAACCCTCTCTCTATTTCTTTTTTTTCTCTTCCAAAACAAAAAACCCAGCCCCAACATCAGCTGCCCAAGACTTCTAGAAGAAGTCAACAAAGCCCAAAATATATGGGTCACCCATCAATGGGCTGGACCCTTAACAATCTCCCCCTCCAGCCCAGTTCGGGGAGACCAAACATAAAAGGTCATCAAGAAGACATACCTGCAAGCTTGGAACAAAGTTCAAGCTTGCTTCGAGGGACCACCTTTGTCAACATATCAACACCATTCTTGTTGGTGTGAATCTTCTTCAACTTCATTAGTTGCTCTTCAATGACAACATGCAACCAATGATATCTCACATCAATATGCTTTGTGCGAGCATGGTACATGCTGTTTTTGCTCAAGTCCATAGCACTTTGACTATCACAAAACACAACATACTCGCTTTGCTTCAAACCTAACTCTTGAAGGAAACGCTTTAACCAAAGCATTTCTTTGCTTGCTTCCACTGCTGCTATATATTCTGCCTCGGTTGTAGACAACGCTACACACTTCTGTAGCTTGGATTGCCATGAAATGGCTCCCCCTGCAAATTTGAACAAGTAACCCGAGGTAGACTTCCGGTTATCAAGATCTCCAGCCATGTCAGCATCCGTAAATCCCTCAAGAATAGGCTCACCACCTCCAAAACACAAACTCAGATTTGATGTGCCTCGCAAATATCTTAAGATCCACTTTACAGCTTCCCAATGAACCTTGCTCGGATTTGCCAAGTATCTGCTAACCAATCCAACAACATGTGCTATATCCGGTCTTGTACACACCATGGCATACATCAATGAACCAACAGCAGAGGAGTAAGAAATATGAGACATACTTTCCTTTTCTTTCTCGGTTGTAGGATAACAACGCTTGCTCAACTTGAAATGGGCTGCAAGTGGTGTATTAACTTGCTTGGCATTCTTCATATTGAACCTTTCAAGCACCCGTTCAATATACTTTTCTTGTGACAACCAAAGCTTACCAACTTTTCTATCACGAGCAATTTCCATACCAAGAATTTTCTTCTCAGGACCCAAATCTTTCATATCAAAGGACTTTGACAAATCCTCTTTTAACCTGCAAATCATCTCAACATCTTGTCCCACAATCAACATATCATCAACATACAAGCAAAGGACAATGAAGTTACCTTCAGAGAATTTTCTAAAATACACACAAGGATCTGCAGTAGTCCGCTTGTACTCATTACTACTCATGAAGGAATCAAACTTGTGATACCATTGCCTTGGTGCTTGCTTGAGTCCATAGAGACTCTTTTTCAACTTGCAAACAAAATTCTCTTTTCCCTTAACTTCAAATCCTTCCGGCTGCTCCATGTAAATCTCCTCATGCAAATCACCATGTAAGAAAGCAGTTTTAACATCAAGTTGTTCAAGTTCAAGATTCAAACAGGCAGCTAGTCCCAAAATCATACGAATGGAAGTCATCTTCACCACCGGTGCAAAAATCTCATCGAAGTCGATGCCTTTTTTCTGATGGCATCCCTTCACCACTAATCTTGCCTTCCGCTTCACTAGCTTGTTGTCAACTTTCTTGTTCTTAAACAACCACCTGTTCTTCAAGACTTTCTTCCCTTTTTGAGGCTTCACCAAGTCATAGGTTTCATTCTTCTTCAAAGAATCCATCTCCTCTTGCATAGCCTTGAGCCAGTGGTCTTTGTCTGAGTGTGACAAGACCTCTTGAAGGCTTTCAGGATCCCCCTCATCAGTGATTAGGATGTATTCTGAACTTGGATAAAGTCTTGAAGGTTGACGAACTCTGGTCGATTTTCTAAGTGTTGGCTCTTCTACCTGTGGGCTGGATTTCTCCCCTTGATTGGAAGACTCTCCATGTTGAACATCTACAGCTTCATCATCAGGTTGTGGTACAACAACATCAAGTTGTACCTCTTCAATATGGTCATGTTCATGAGCAATTTCATGACCATCCTCTGGAGCATCACCTGTTAATTGATCATCAGAAGCAGAAACATGAGGCATGGGCATATCAATAACATCATGAGAGAAATTAGAATAATAAGTCTTATCAGCACCCAAGAGATGAAAACCCATCTCGTGCTCATAAAAGACAACATCTCTACTTCTCACAACTTTTTGCTTTGCTGGATCATAAAGTCTGTAACCAAACTCTTCATCACCATATCCAACAAACACACAAGGAGAAGTCTTGAAATCAAGCTTCAATCTATGTTCCTTCGGCACATGCATAAAAGCCTTGCATCCAAACACCCTCAAGTGAGAATAAGAGGGATCTTTCCCAAACCAAACTCTCTCGGGAATATCAAACTCCAAAGGAACTGATGGTGCTCTATTTATCAAATACACAGCAGTTCCAACTGTTTCACCCCAAAATGACTTAGGAAGATTGGACATTCTAAGCATGCATCTCACTTTCTCAATAATGGTTCTATTCATCCTCTCGGCAACGCCATTGTGTTGTGGGGTACTCGGTTCTGTTCTCTCATGTCGAATGCCATATCTTGAGCAATATGCTTTAAACTCATTTGAAGTGTATTCACCTCCATTATCAGTTCGAAGACGCTTCAGTTTGCAATCTGTCTCCCTTTCAACCATTGCATGAAACTTCTTGAAGATACCGAACACCTCACTTTTGTGCTTCATCATATAAACCCAAGTTCTCCGAGTAGCATCATCAATAAAAGTAACAAAGTATTTGTTACCACCAAGTGATTCCACCTCTATGGGACCACACACATCAGAGTAAACCAACTCTAACTTCACTTTCTTTCTTGTAGATGTCCTCGGAAAAGAAACTCTGTGTTGCTTTCCTGCAAAACAATGATCACAAGGGTCAAGTGAAATAGTAACATCAGCAGGAATAAGAGACTTACCGGCCAACAGCTTTATACCCTTCTCACTAACATGCCCCAATCTTCGGTGCCATAAGTTAGGAGATGTTTTCTCCTCAATAGCATTCAACTCACCACTACACACTTTCAAATGTGTCTTATACAAGGTGCAACAAAGCTTGCCACGAGCAACAGTCAAGGAACCCTTAGACAATTTCCATTTATCCTCACCAAAAGTGTGCTTGTAACCCTCTTCATCAAGTACGTTAGCAGACAATAAATTGAGGCGTAAATCTGGAATGTGGCGAACATCTCTCAACGTCAAATAGCACCCTACATTGGTTTGGATTCGAATATCTCCAATGCCAAAAATACTTGCTGAGCTCTGGTTCCCCATCTTCACACTACCAAAATCTCCAGCTCGGTAGTCAATAAAGTACTCCTTATTAGGAACACAATGATAGGAAGCTCCTGTATCAATAAGCCATTCAGTGTCAGAACTATCAACATGACAACATTCTCCAGTAGCACATATCAAAGAAACACGATCATCAGAACTAGAAGTTGTAGCAGCTGTATTCTTGTCATCACCCTCTTTATGATGGTCATTTTTCTTATTTTGCTGGTCTCTTTTCAACTTGTAGCAAAACTTTTGAATGTGGCCAGGCTTGCTACAATAGTGGCATATCGTAGGTTCTCTCCCATCCTTGGACTTTGACCTATACTTTGACTTGCCACACCCTTTGGGACCTCTACTCTTGCTTCTTCCTCTATTCTCTACCACAAGTGCCTGCGAAATATCAACACCCATCTCCTTTCTTCTAAGCTCTTCATTGAACATGCTCTCTTTGATGACATCCAATGAAAGCGGTATCTGGAGCTGAGTTGCTGATGGACACAACCAAAGTTTCCCAACTGTCTGGCAAAGAACTCAAGAGGAATAAAGCCTGCAACTCATCATCAAGGACAATTTTCATAACAGTCAACTTGTTAATAATATCTTGAAAGTCGCTAAGATGCTCAGAAACAGACTTCCCTGGCTTCAACTTGAGATTAACAAGCCTCTTAATCAACGAGGCCTTGTTATGAGCGGTCTTCCTCTCATAAAGACCCTCCAATTTTTTCCATAGCTCAAGCGGCTCAGTCTCCTGGGATACATGATTGAATATGCTAATATCAATCCACTGTCTGATTGTCCCCAAGGTCTTTCTCTTCAGCTTTTCCCATTCTTTTTCTGTCATCTTCTCTGACTTAGTGGGCTAGTCATCTTTCTTTGTTTTATCCACATCAATTGGATCAAACAAATCCTTGCAATATAACAAATCTTCCATCATCAGACGCCAAATGGAATAATTGGTTGATGTCAGTTTAACCATAGAGTTATTTCCATGCTCCATGTCTATGGTTTAACACTCAGCTCTGATACCAATTGTGAGGGGAGTCACAAAACAACACAAGTAGGATACAACACCTACAAGGATCGACTTCAAGACAATCAACCAAATATACTTCACCAATTTACCAAAAGAAATTCACCACTATATTAACCAAGCTCAAATCAGCAACACATCAATTGAATCACAAGCAAATATGAATTATAAATACGCAAGTGACACACAAGATTTATACGTCGAAAACCCCTTCGGTATGAAGGATAAAAACCACGGGACTTGAAGGAGTCCACCCTTCTTCTTCTCTTATTATGTAAATTGAGGGTAAAAACACCCAAATCAGTCTACAAGGATGTCACAGCCCACCAACAACAACATACATAAGAGCCAACACAAAAGAGAAGAGAAATTGAGAAATATCACCAAAAAAAAATGCAGGTTACGCCAGCTGCGATAACAGACGATCAAGAACTTCGATTGACGATCTGAACGGTCAAGATGTAGTGCTATGTATTGTGAACCAGCTGCGAAAGTTTCAGAACGATCCAACGGTCGGATCTCTTGCAATCTGAAATTTTGTCTCGCTGTCCAGAAAAATCAGCAACCCTTTTCTCTCTCAAACCCTCTCTCTATTTCTTTTTTTTCTCTCTTCCAAAACAAAAAACCCAGCCCCAACATCATCTGCCCAAGACCTCTAGAAGAAGTCAACAAAGCCCAAAATATATGGGTCACCCATCAATGGGCTGGACCCTTAACAATCTCTCCATATGATAGACCTTGACACTGAGAAATCTGTCTATCACATGAATCCAAAATAGTTATACAAATAGGAAATTTGTTAAAATCAATGTTGGCCTTTTAAAGCATTATGTACACCCTGACACCCATGTCATTGTGTATAACCATTCGATTATTACTTTCTTCAACCTTGTACTCAATCTTCAAAGTCTTATTATTCAAATCAACACCAATCTGTGTGGCAATAGTAGTATAAAACTCAAGAAACGTTGACTGTTCCTTAAAAACTACTCCCTCTATAGTATAATCAATGTAACTATTTCTATCGTCCCATTTTCCAGAATGTATAACCAAAATAGCCAAAGAGGCCATTATCTGTACAATTTTTAAAAAAAAATTATTTCAAATCATTCACAGAAATCATATATACAATTAATACAACACTATTATACAATCAGATTAATGAATTTTACGTTGATCTTCGTTTTAATATACAAATTCTACATCAAAAAAAGTATATAATTGTATCATATGAATTTTCTTCTTTAAATTTTTTTATATTTTTGAAATCAATTCTCAAAAGCAAAACACTTACGTTATGGCTATATACAATTATCACCAACGATTACATGTATTCGATTACATTGATCTTCTTTATAATATACAAATACTACATCAACAAAAAGTATATAATTGTATCCTACGAAATTTCTTCTAAAAAATTATATATTTTTGAAACCAGTTTTCAAAAGAAAAACACTTACGATATGGCTATATACAAGTATCACCACAATAACGAACGCACATACATCAAAATTTGTAAATCCAATAGAACATTGTATAATTATTGCCATAATAAACATGAATTTTCATCCAATGAACAATTACCTGTATTCAATTATAAAGAAAAATAAAAAAATTGATGAACTGCTGTTTCATAAACAGCAAAAACAAGTTTATCTTGTGTTTCAATTGTTGTATACTTCTTATTTTTTTGGAAAAAAAATGAAATTGAACATTTACCTTAAATTATGGCATTATCTAAATTTATTGTTAGCATATTTAACGCTTCAGTTACAAACCACTCTTTATAAAATAAAGGAAAAAGGGTCTGATATACCCCTCAACTTTGTCATTTGGAGCTGATACACCCTCGTTATAAAAGTGGCTCATATATGCCCTTACCGTTATACAAACGGCTCACACATACTCCCACCGTTACAAAATGGCTCACATATACCCTTCATTTAACGAAACTTAAATAATTAGTTTTAAATTTATATTTATTACTTATAATTTTTTAAAATAATTATTTAGCGGTATATATGATTCTTCTATAAAAGTTCAAGGTATATTTTAATTTTTTTCATACATAAATTATTTTTTGACTTCTTTTATTATAATTATTTGAGTTTCTTATTCTTTTTTTTTCTTTCGTTCCTTAGTTTAAAGGGAAAAAAATTAAACTATCTTTTTGTGTGTATTGTAATTTAATTTCGTATTCGAAAAAAAAAATGGCCATCTACAATAAGTTTTACAAGAATATTAGTGAAACATAAATAAATTTGATTATCAAAATAATAATTATAAATTAGTCATTGAAACAAAAAAAAGTCAAAAAAAATATGTTTGACGATGATTAAATTTACTCATATGGATTATATTTTTTAGAAAAAAATAATAAAAAATTAGATTGAAAATTATTATTTTTTCATTCCCGTTAGAGGAAAAGGGTATATGTGAGCCATTTGTTTACAAGTAGGGGTATATATGAGCCACTTTCATAACAAAGGGTATATCAGCTCTAAATGACAAAGTTGAGGGGTATATCAGACCTTTTTCCCTAAAATAAAATTGTATAAATAAAAAACAAAAGAAACCTTATATACAAAATTAAAGATACCTAAAATAACTAAACTATACTCATAGCATGTAATTAGGTAAACTATACCCATATAATGTTATTTAATCAATTAAGTTTGTCATATATCTAGGGGCGACCCACATGGTGTCTGCCGGGTGCTCTGTCACCCATTAACTTCGTTACGAAATATATATATCTATGTAGAAATCGATAGATATTTGTATAAAATTAACATAGAGCACTCAATAAATAAATCATATAATTGGCCCAATGGTTATAGGATGGATACTTATGACTCTTTTAACCTTGTTGTACCAAGGTTCGAATCTCATTGTTAACACATATTTTTTATAGTTTCACTTCAGAACACCCACAACCTTAAAATCCTAGATCCGCCACTACATATATCCGAACATAAAAATGAAAAATTTTACTTCTCAAAATATAAACTAAAAGATTGATCTGCATTTGGAAGATAGCATTAGTTGATCCCGTGAAATAAGCTTCATCTTCATTTCAAGGAAGTAAGATTTAAATAAAGATGAGCGAACTGAAGAACTTACCGCGAATGTTATGGATGTAAATCTTAAGGAAATAATTCCCCATGTCCTCTTGTTCTTGTACAATCTCTCTTGCAGAATTCTCAGCTGTAGTGCTGCAATCGTATAACTCAATTGATTCCAAACTACAAATTTCCCCAAAATCTGCTGGAATTCCTTGCAGGTCACCACAATTTTTCAGAACAAGGCGTTTTAGCTTTGGAAAGTTATCACTGGTAGCTTCCCAATACCTAAGATCTGAGTCACTCAGTAACAACAACTTCAAACTTCTGAACTTGTGTTCATCACTCAATCTCCATTCATCAATCAAGGTTTGACAATTTTTAAGTTTGAGCTCTTCAAGATTTGGCAACATCATAACAGTCGAAGATACATCTGTCCATAAAAAATCACTACACCGTGTTAAAGACAACCTCCTAAGTGATGTTGGAAAATGAAATCTCTTGAAGGAATATCGATAAAAAATTGAACCATAAAACTTGAATGCTTCGAGTTTTGTCAATCTGGACATATCCAATTGGAGCTGATCGAGATTACTTTTTCGGAAATAAGGTAAGTGAAAGATCAATCTCTTTATATTGGGAATGCCAGAAAAGACTTCGTCTGTCAAATGACCAGAAAATTCCTGTAGATTTGGCATCCCTGTCACAAGACTTTGTGTTCCAGGACTTGGTAAATAAGTGGGACGATCCAGACGTATATACCTCAAGTTCTTCATCATCCATATCTTCACAGGTAAAGTCATATCTAAAGGAAAAGTACCACTCAAAATTAGAGTTTGCAAATTCTGAAGCTCTGAAATTGATTCAGGAATATTGCCATTAAATCTAACTTGGAGATATCTCAGATGAAACAACTTTGTAATCACAAGCGGAAATGATTCGAAATAAAGATATTTATTGTTCATGGACAACACCCTGAGAAGGTTGAAATGAGAGAAAAATTCATATATTATAGGATCATGATGATAGATGGGTAATCTCCTGTGAAGCTTAATACGGGGTAAATTAGGTAGATCCAATCGAGAAAATAAGTAGATAGATCTAGAAGCAGGAGGTAATAGCTTATAACAATCATCAACGGAATAATATTCAGTTTGAAAACTGAAGCGGCGAACATTATGCATTTGTGTTGGAAGAGTAGGGTAAGTTCTCTCAACATGCATATGCTTTGTCATTTCAGCTTCTGTCAAACAGAACTCACGCAGTAGATCATGTATTCCACACGCTTTTATATCACCATTGAATCTCCTTTCTCTAGCCTGTATCAAGTTCCTACTAATAAGATCCTCCAAATAATCTATTGCCACTTCCTCCAAACTTTTACCATTTTCGGAAGTCCTTATGAAACCTTCTGCAATCCATAATTGGATCAATATCCGAGTCTCAACCTGAAAATCCTCTGGGAAACTACTCATAGATAGAAAGCAAGGTTTGAGGTGATTAGGCAAGTGGTGATAACTCAAACCGAGCACTGCTAAGCATTCATCTGGATGACTAGCAATGATTTCACTTAAGGTTCGGGCAACATCCTTCCAACCTTCTAATGTCCTGGCCACTTTACAGAGATGTCCTGCAATCACTGAAATTGTTAAGGGTAGTCCTTGGCATTTTTCTACTATTTCCTTTCCAATTTCTTCCAATTCGGGAGGATGATCATGTTTTGGTCCAAACACCTTATCACAAACTAACTTCCAACCATTTTCTCCACTCAAAAGGCTCATCTCATGAGGGCTACAAGTATTTGCATACATTGCTACCTCATTTTCCCTAGTAGTCAATAAGATTCGACTCCCATTGTTGTAATTAGGAAATATTCCTCTTACACTATCCCAAACATTTTCAGTCCAAATATCATCAACAACAACAAGGTATCTTGGACCCTTTAGGTTCTTTTGCACCAGGTCAGCTAACTCATTGTCATCCATCTTATCATAGTCTTTTGCGTTCACAATAGCTGTTTTCTTTGAAATGCAATGTAAAGCTTCTAACAATACATTTCTACATTGAAATTCTTGAGATATAGTAACCCAAGCAAGAATGTCAAAGTGATACCTGATTGTGAGATGATGATAAGCTTTTCTAGCAAGTGTTGTTTTGCCAATGCCACCCATGCCTGATATTGTGACAATGTCTAGATCCGATGGTGGTCCTATCAGTCTTTTAATTATGATCTCCAAGTCATCATCAATTCCCCGCACGATATCATCTTCCAACTTATCTGACAGCAATGCGTAACTTTTAGAAGAAGGGCCAATCATGGAATCCCCAAATAATTCAAGAATTTGATCAGCATCATGAGAAACAATCTCCATCACTTGTTTCTTTATTGTTTCCATTTTTTCAAAAACTGGTAGCAAATCCCGGTGTTGTAAAATTCCAAAAGTCCAGCTTGTCCCTTCGATGATTTGATGAGTTTTCAGCTCAACAACGTCTTCTGCCTCACTAGCAGCATCTCTGATTTTTTCCTCCAAAGATTTTATTTTTCCAGGTTCAAATTCATCAAGAACTTTTTCGAAATATTCAGCAATAGCACGAAGAGAATCGAGTACTTCAGCAGTGTGATCATGAAAGAGTTCATGAATATTTCGTTCGTCAAGAGTTCGAAGAAGAGAAATTACAGCACTATAAGCTGCCATCAAGTGTGCAAGATTAAATCAAAATATTGAAGTGAGAAGTTTAAAGATGAACAAGCTATGTTTGCAAGGAAAGAAAAAAATTTTGGTGCTAAGAAAATACTTTAAAATACAAAATTTACTAATAATTAGATAGGTTGGGTTGTGACTCGATTTTTATCTCATTTCAGCCCAAATCATACAAACGAGACAAATGACCTGCTCATTTATTAATGTAAAGATATGATACTTGGACCTAATTTAACCTCAAAAACATTCAGCCCAAACAACATATAATTAGCTGGACAAATGATCTGCTCATTTATTAACTCAACTTGCTTTGACATTTTTAAATTCCGTTCAACCTGCACATTTTGATACCCTAGTAATACTCTTTAATTATAATTTCCAACACCATGTTACTGTTTATGAATAAATTATTTGCTTACTGAAAAAAAACTAAGTCAATGCTAGTTGTGTGTATGAAATCAGATCTGGACAACTATGCCTGTAGGTATATAATAATGAATTTCCAATCCCTTTAAAGCACCAATTATTTTTTATTTGTTCTGATTGAATAAAACTAGCATCTTTACAGTTGTCAATTAATAGATCAGCAAATTTAAGAAAACATTAATCAAATGAACAATACTAATTGGTGCTTTTTTAATCAAGCAAAAAATAATAAATTTAAGACATAATATATAAACATGATGCATAAACTTGGCCTCAGGCTCTTAGCTATAAGTAAATACTCCAACTCTGGGAATGCACATTTAAGCACCTTACTTGGTCTGAACTCTCAACTGACAACAAAATACTTTTAACTCGTTCCTATTATGTTTCATGGACATCTTACGCTGACGTGAAACATATTTTTTCCAATTGTTTAAATGATCATTTTGGATTTCATAGACTACTATGTTTCGTGAACATCTTATAATAGATAGCCTGATCTGTTCTGATAGATCGAAAGAGATAGAGAGGGAATCTCTCAAGAATAGGGGGAAATCTCCTATTTTTATGCTGACATGGAACATATCAATGGGCATATTTAATTGCCTCTTTGAGTGAAGAAGAAAAGTGTAATTCATCGCTCTACGCATACCATTATTTCAAAAAATAGATAAATGAAGTTGCATCTTCGCCTAATTTGGTTTGACTCTTTACTTTTGGTATCACACTTATGTCAACACGACATAGATGTGAGCGTGGTGTGGAATCCGTACTGGATTTGATCAATCCATTTTTGAATACATTAACTAAAAATGACAGAGAAATTAAAAGACACAAAAGATGATTTTCTATAATAAAAACAAAAGCTAAGGTGAAACTGAAGAAAATGAAATAAACTTGTATATATAAATTTCTATGTAAACCCTTTTCCTTTTGTATCTCTCAAGGATTTTTCTCTTGATCAATATTTTTCCTTGAAATACCTTGTATAATGTCTCATAAAAATTGTTTTTAGCCGTATCCCAACACATGTATCCTTATCTTGATCTGTACCCTCCAAATCTTAAAATTTAAACCATTAAAGATTCAATCTCAAGATCCACATCCGTATTGAGCACCCGCCACCTATATTAACCTTAAAAGCAGTCACAATTTCGATTAAGTAACTAAAATAAATAAGGATAGTCTTACAATTTGCAAAATTGTGCCTAAATTAGAACTTTGCGTGTAATGTATCATTCTTGTGGTCTGTCCAAAAAAAAAAAGACTAACATTTAATCTTTTTTTCTCTTCATATCTCGATATCCTATAATTGAGATGAAATTAAATGGAGTATCATGGTCAACTAATGTTCACATAGTCGAGTTTTATCTTATTTGGGATTGAAGTGTAATAATTTATTGTTAGTTTATGTTTTTTCAGTATATCATATCAACGCCTCTGTTTTGGTGTTGGATTTAACTCCTCTTCCCTCCCTTTATAGCCTTTTTATGTACAATAGCTCGCAAATCATATCAGAGATGTAAATCATTCTAGGGATGCAAGTCTAATGCAACAAACTCGATCAAGAAAGTTTTGGCAAGGGAAATCGATTTGCTGTCATCCTCCATGACATATCACCTGTTGCACCAACTCAGTCACCCTAACGGGTTAGCCGTTTATTACTTGTTACTCTTATCTCATCTTCAGAGTCGTAATATCGTATTGAATTATGCTTTTTATAATAGGGAAAAGGGTCAAATATGCCCCTAAACTATTTGAAAAGGTTTAGATATACCCTCCGTTTAAAGTTTGGTTCATTTATACCTTCGCCGTCCAACTTTTGGTCTACATATGCCCTTTTGGGCGTTAGTTGGCCAACTCGGAATATCCAACTCATTTTACTTTTATTTAAATGCCAAATGGATTTTTCACGTCATTTTTATGTATTATTACTTGACATTTATATTCAAGGGAAAAGTGTCAAATATGCCCCTAAACTATTTGAAAGATCTAGATATACCCCGTTTAAAGTTTGATCCATTTATACCCTCGCGTTCAACTTTTGGTCTACATATGCCCTTATGGGTGTTAGTTGGTCAATTCGAAATATCCAACTCATTTTACTTTTCTTTAAATGCCAAATGAGATTTTACATCATTTATATATATTATCACTTGACATTTATATTAAAAGAGAAAGGGGTCACTTATGTCCTAACTATCCGACCCAATTTTAAAACACATATACGACCGTCTTTTAAATGGTTCAATTATGCCCCTAATCCGACTCATATATGTGTGAATTATTTTGTTATTTACATCATCATCGCCTGCTGCAGCTTGCAGTTGTGTCTGTAACGTTGTTGCGGTGAATTCCTGTGCTCTAGCCCTTGCCTGCCAGGTTTGCGCCTCCAGCTCTGCGTTGTGGCAAAACGCTTTACAAACCTCAACTTCCTTTTCCTTTAGTTGTCGTGCCATTGATTCCTCGGCGGTTCCAATCAGAGCACGATAGTGTTCGCCATTAAATGGTTCAATTATGCCCTAATCCGACCCATATAGGGTATTTAAAAAAAGGGTCGGGTTGTATAGATTATTTAAAAGACGGGTCGTCTATATGTTTTAAAATTAGGTCGGATAGTTAGGGGCATAAAAGACCCCTTTGTCTTTTAATATAAATATCAAGTAATAATATAAAAAAATGATGTGGAAAATCCATTTGGCATTTGAAGAAAAGTAAAATGAGTTGGATATTTCGAATTGACCAACTAACACCCATAAGGGCATAGACCAAAAGTTTGGACGCGAGGGTATATATTGATCAAACTTTAAACGGGGGTATATCTAGACCTTTCGAATAGTTTAAGGGCATATTTGACCCTTTTCCCTTGAATATAAATGTCAAGTGATAATACATAAAATGACGTGGAAAATCCATTTGGCATTTAAATAAAAGTAAAATGAGTTGGATATTCCGAGTTGGCCAGCTAACGCCCAAAAGGGCATATGTAGACCAAAAGTTGGACGGTGAGGGTATAAATGGACCAAACTTTAAATGGAGGATATATCTAAACCTTTTCAAATAGTTTAGGGGCATATTTGACCCTTCTCCCTTTATAATATGATGTTATTTAGTAATTCATTTGTTTGCTTGTTTCTTCTAACATTGAGGTCAAATTATTTAAAATAAAAATTCTGCATACGTCACTGATAAATCATGTTTAACTAAAACTATATGTCTAACTAATTTAACTAACTTGAGAATTTAGTTCAAATAATTTTATATGTTTAATGTTAGGAATGTTTGTTAAATTCCTATGTTTAGGTATTGGTCACTAACCTATCTAATGGGTTACTACTAATTAGGAATTTGGATCATCTCCTTGTTTCTAACCTATTTAACTTTAATATAAATAACAATATTTGACTCGGCAAAAAAGGAAGAAAAAAAGACTTTGAAATATATAATAATTTAAAGAAGATATAGATATTCATGTGGCAAATTATCATCATATTAAGAACAAGATAAGAAATATAAAACTAATTTTTTTCTATTTATAAAAACCAATTATTCTTTCTATAACGATAAGATATAAGTGAGTCACTTCGAGTACTATATATCAACTCTAAATCTAAGTTAAGAGTTATATATATTACCACCTTTCCCCTATAAGTTATGTTCGTCTGATTTATATAATACATAAATTCGAATTTAGTCGAACTCTAATATAGATATCATAAAGATAAAAAAAAATATACATACAAAGACATTGTGATACAACGACTCTTATTATAATATAAGGTGAATAGAAATATATAGAGTGTTTAAACAAATCAACAATAAAATAGAATAAAATTAAAAAATTGACTCGTTCATAAATCTTAGGTCCAGCTTCTCTAACGAACACATTCTAATTGGCATAATTAATATTTTATAGTAAAAAGAAACACTAAAAAAATATCTAATTTTGTATTTATGCATAAGTCAAAGTGCTGACATTTTTTTTTCTGAATAAAGTTAGCTTCATTTTTGCAAACTAACATCCACCAACCATGAAATTTCTTTATTTTGTAAATGCATTTAATCACATTTTTAATGTCCACACCACACTGGGACTTGCAAAGTGGTTTTAAAAAACGAGTAATGATAAAATTCGACCCGTTAATTATGGGTCGAATAAAAAATAAACGATTAAAATATTTTATCCATTTATATATAATTTATTTTCAATCGATTCATATTTGACCGGATGAGCGTGCTTGTCACTCCTACATCACATCTTATTGAGTATTTTCGTAGAGTGATGTATAAGAAATGCATTACAACATGTCAATGTTCAATATTTTAATAATACGTATGTAAAATTTTGAATTAATAGTCAAATTAAATCTTCGTAGTGATTTTTCATATAATAATGCATGTGTTGATTATGAGATGATTCCCGTATTATTATGCAGCTAATGAACTCTCATATTTTGAAACTCTTACTATATATATATATCAATATTGAAAGGAGTAAAGTTATCTTCATGTGATTTATAGGTTACGAGTTCGAGCCGTGAAAGCAATCACTAATACTTACGAGACTAAATTGTTTGTATCACACCTATGAGGATTGCAGTCTTTTATCAAATTATGCTAACATGAAATGTTTTATACAATAGGTTTAACTTTTTTTCCCATATTATATCAAGAGCGTCATATTCATTGAAACCACCGAATTGTTCACCGTTACATATGACATACTTTTTGAGTGTATTTTTTTTTTTGAAAAAAGTATTGAAAAGGACAACTTAATTATTAAATGTTAAAATAGTATAAGGCAGATCAACTAACTATAATGTATGCCATGTTTAATATATGTTACAAATAATTTTTTATAAAACAAAAACACCAACAACAAAAGATGCAGATAGAAAATTTTGCATCCCAACTAAAACCATACTCCTTCTCGTCCCAATTTATATATAATTTTTCCCTTTCCGGGAGTCAATTTTATGAATTTTTTATAACTAAATTCGATCAGATTAAGTCATTGTTTTAAAAATAAAATTTAGATATCAAAAACTATACGAAAAGTACTATATATTGCAGTTCTTATAATATTAATTAATACGGTCATGAAAATTATACATTTTAAAATACTGGTCAAATTAAGTTCATATAATTTGAATATCAAAAAGCGAAATATGAGAGATATTTTAGGCTCGAGGAAATGCCTTTTACTTTCATTTTTTATGGTAGTTCAAAATAGGTAGTGAAAATTATTTGTGAAGAAAATTTCAAACATTAAAAAATTAGTGGGAGAGCTTTCACTGCTAACTACTTTGAGAAAATGTACTATAAAAGCAAGTCTTAAATTTTATTTACACACATCATCACCCTTTTCACAAAAACACACATTCACACAGTGCCAATTTCACTTTGAAATCTTACAATCTTAGCCAATTTTTTTTTAATTAAAATGACACTTTTAGGATTAGGCTACATTGAAATTTTCCTAGCTTTGTTCTGTTTTCTTTTGTTTTATTGCTTTAGACATTCAAATTATCCAATAAATTTTCCAATTTTTGGTATGTTACCAGGATTACTTTATAATATACAACAAATACATGAAAGGTGCACTATGTCAATGAAGGCCTCAGGGGGCACATTTTTATTCAAAGGTCTATGGTTTGCAAATATGGACACATTAACAACAGTTGATCCAGCTAATGTTCATTATATCATGAGTGCAAATTTCATGAATTTTCCTAAAGGTCCTAAATTCAAAGAGATGTTTGATGTTTTAGGTAATGGTATATTCAACGCGGATTTGGATATGTGGAAGGTCCAGAGGAAGATGACGCGTTCTCTCATCACTCATCATGAGTTCTACAAGTTTTTAGTCAAGACTAGTTGCGATAAGGTGGAGAAAGGACTAATTCCGGTTATTGATCATGTTTGTAACAAGGGTTGTGTTGTGGATTTGCAAGATTTGTTTCAAAGGTTCACTTTTGACACAACTTGTATATTGGTTACCGGATATGATCCTGGATGTGTATCGATAGATTTCCCTGATGTTCCCTTCTCGAAAGCAATGGATGATGCTGAAGAAGCTATTCTTTTTCGTCATGCATTGCCTGAGATTGTGTGGAAGTTGCAAAGGTGGCTTAGAATTGGAGAAGAAAAGAAGATGATTAATGCTCAGGAGGTATTGGACTATACTATAGATAAATACATTTCCATGAAGCGCGAAGATTTGAAGGAAGTAGATCATGATTTGAAAGAAAGTGAAGAGGGATTTGATCTCTTGACATTTTACTTAAAGGATGAAAAAGAATTGGGAGTCAAGTGTGATGACAAGTTCTTGAGGGACAATATATTGAATCTTATGATAGCAGGGCGTGACACGACTAGCTCTGCTCTCACATGGTTCATTTGGCTTGTGTCAACAAATCCACAAGTGGAAAAAAAGATTAGGGACGAAATCAACTTTGTTATCCCCAATGAAGAAGGCGAAAAATTTAGGCTTTTTAATGTTCAAGAATTGAACAAACTTGTTTACTTACATGGTGCATTGTGTGATTCACTAAGGCTATATCCACCGGTGCCATTCCAACACAAGGAGCCTCTTGAGGAAGACATACTTCCAAGTGGACACAAAGTTCATCCAAAGTTAAAGATTATGTTCTCATTGTACGCGATGGGGAGAATGGAGTCGATTTGGGGGAAAGATTGTTTGGAATTTAAGCCAGAGAGATGGATTTCTGAACGAGGGACGATTAAACATGAGCCATCGTACAAGTTTTTGGCTTTTAACGCTGGACCAAGAACTTGTCTTGGTAAAGAAGTGGCTTTCACACAAATGAAGGCTGTGGCTGCTGCTATTATTCACAATTATCAAGTTGAACTTGTTAAAGGACACATTGTTGAACCAAATGCTTCTATTATTCTCTACATGAGACATGGTTTTAAAGTAAAGATTAATAAGAGGTGGACTTAATTATGAAGGATAATATAGTATGTATCAAGTTTAAGTATGTTTCATTTGTTTAATTGGCTCCTATTTTATTTTTTTTTGTTAATTTCATATAGAGATGTAAAATTTCATTAATGAATTTGTTGTATGTTTGTTTGGTATTTGATTTTATAAGTAAGTCCTATATGATTCAGTTGGTTTGGAGGGACCAGTAATTGATCTGCCCTTTATATATGAGTTAACGGTCAAAATACATGTAAAGTACCTCAATTTATTGAGTTCAATATTTAAATTATCAGGTGTTTGAGTTTTCTATCCTGAACCATTATAAAATGTTACCAAAACATACCGCAACTATTATGATTTGTTCACTTTTACTATTTGAAATATTACCGTCATTCCAATAGTGAAATTAAACAACTGATAGCTAAGGTGTGTTCGGATAAACATTTGGTAATAATTCAGATATGAGATTCAACGAGTCGGAACACTTTAGATGTGCTTTTGATACTTTCACTCTTTATATATATAGGGTTGTCCATAAACTGTATGATGAAAAGCCTCAAAGAGAAAATAAACACTATGCTTAAAATGGCTCTCACTTCTCTATTGGCTTCAATAGGGTGCCTTGAGATCTTTATAGCAATATTTTTCTTTCTTGTAATCAACTTTAGCTATTCAATTGGTACAAGCAATTGTTAAAAATAAATAGTAATTGGAGTTGAAAAGAAAAGATTTGGTAGTTGGCAAATTGGTAAAATTTGCAACCATTTTTGACTTTGCTATGTTTACATATGTCATTAGTGACATATGTATGGTTTTATCCTTCTATAAATAGAGCATTCTTGCTCATTTGTAGAACACACCAAGTTAGAGAGAAAAACCATTTTGAGAGCAAAGTGAGGTATTCCATATTCCATAGACTATATAAGAAAATAGTCTGTGAAAAAAAATAGAGTGTGAGCGATATTTTAGTAAGACGGAAACCAAAAGAGTGTTGTTCCTTTTGAGTGTGTAGTAGTCACTTTGAGTGTTGTATTCGTGACTACACAGTGTAAAATTCCTTACTATAATAATATCAATTTCTCCTCTTGGCCCGTGGTTTTTTCCCTTATTCAGAAGGGTTTCCACATAAAATTATTGGTGTCGTTATTTTCCCATTTTATTTCCATTACTTTTACCATATATACTTTTGTGCTTGTCCGCGTTTTCCCAACAAACAAGTATCAGAGCCAAGGTTTTATCTGAGTATGCTCTGTGGTTGCAGCACAGTCTGAACTTCCACATCAGAAAAGATTTACTTTGATTTGCGATAACTATATTTTTTGGGGAAAACAATGGAAGCCAACACAAGTAGAATGGTTACTTTGAATGGTGTTAATTATGCCATTTGGAAAGGGAAAATGGAAGATCTGCTTTATGTCAAGAATTTTTATAAACTAGTATTTACCACTGTAAAGCCTGATAATATAACAGATGAAGAGTGGAATTTGTTGCATAGACAGGTTTGTGGATTCATTAGGCAATGGATCGACGATAATGTATTGAACCATATTTCTGGGGAAACACATGCTCGAACCCTATGGGAGCATCTTGAAAGTTTGTATGCTCGAAAGACTGGCAACAACAAAATGTTCTTAATAAAGCAGATGTTGAGTTTGAAGTATCATGATGGTTCTCCAATGACAGACCATCTGAATAATTTTCAGAGGATTATGAACCAATTATCTGCTATGGGCATCAAATTTGATGAAGAAATTCAAGGCTTGCTTCTACTTGGTTCCCTACCAGATTCTTGGGAAACATTTAGAACGTCATTGTCAAATTCTGCTCCGGATGGTGTGATCTCTATGGATTCCTCCAAGAGTAGTGTCTTGAACGAAGAGATGAGAAGAAAAACTCAAGGTTCCTCTTCGTCGGATGACCTGATAACTGGCCCCAGGGGGAGAAATAAAACTCATGGTTCTCAGCATAGAGAACAATATAGGAGCAAATCCAAAGGCAGACTTAAGGATATTGAGTGCTATCATTGTGGCATGAAAGAGCACACAAAGAAGTTCTGCAGGAAGTTGAAGAGGGAGAACAACAACAAAGAGGAAACTAAACAAGATGGCAATGAAAATTGCCTAGCCACCGTCACCACCGAAGATTTTGTTATCGTTCTTGATGCAAACATGATAAATATTGCTTGTGATGAGCCAAGCTGGGTTGTGGACACTGGTGCCGCATCTCATGTGACATCAAGGAAGGATTTTTTCTCTTCCTACACTCCTGGTGATTTTAGAACCTTGAGTATGGGTAATGAGACTGTTTCTAGGGTGGTTGATATTGGTAAAATTTGTTTGGAAACTAGTATTTGGAACTAAACTAGTTTTGAACAATGTGAAACATGCTCCTGATGTTCGTCTGCACCTAATTTCTGTTGGTGTTTTAGATGATGAAGGATATGTTAGTACCAACGGTGATGGAAAATGGAAGCTCATTAAGGGTTCCTTGATTGTGGCTCATGGTAACAAACGTCGTGGTCTATACTGGACTACGGCCTCTGCTTGTGTTGATATGGTGAATGCGGTTGAGAGCGATAACTCTTCAACATTATGGCACAAGAGGCTTAGCCACATTAGCGAGAAAGGACTTAATGTTCTAGCCAAGAAGAAATTATTGTCAAATTTCCAAAGTGCTAAATTAGAAAAATGTGAGCACTGCTTGGCTGGTAAACAAAATAGAGTTTCCTTTAAGTCCTACCCTCCTTCGAGAAAGACAGAGTTGCTTGAGTTAGTGCACTCTGATTTATATGGTCCAATGAAGACAAAGACATTGGGTGGTGCACTTTACTATATCACTTTCATTGATGATTGCTCGAGAAAACTTTGGGTCTATGTCTTGAAGACTAAAGACCAAGTGTTAGGTGTCTTTAAGCAGTTTCAGGCTTCAGTTGAAAGAGAAACTGGAAAGAAATTTAAATGTATTCGTACTGATAATGGTGGTGAATATAGTGGAACATTTGACGAATACTGCAAGCATCAAGGTATTAGACACCAGAAGACTCCTCCCGAGACTCCTCAGCTTAATGGTTTGGCTGAGAGGATGAACAGGACCTTGATGGAAAGAGTTAGATGTTTGCTTTCTGAAGCAAAGTTGCCGAACTCATTTTTGGGTGAGGCTTTATTGACCGCTGCACATGTTATTAATCTATCTCCTGTTGTTGCTTTGCAAAGTGATGTGCCAAATAGTGTTTGGTATGGAAAGGATGTTTCCTATGACCATTTGAGAGTATTTGGTTGCAAAGCTTTTGTATATGTGCCGAAAGATGAGAGGTCAAAATTAGATGCCAAGACAAGGCAATGCATCTTCATTGGATATGGCCTAGATGAATTTGGTTACAGGCTATATGATCCAATTGAAAAGAAACTTGTGAGAAGCCGTGATATTATTTTCATGGAGAATCAAACAATTGAAGATATTGACAAAGCGAAGAAGGTAGAATCTTCAAGTTTTGATGGTATAGTTAATCATGATGAAGTTCCTCACACAAGTGTGCATGATGTTGTTGGGTTTGATAATCATGGTGACGCCCAGAATCATGTATCAAATCAACATGTTGATGTTGATAATAACAATGATATTGTTATTAATGATCTTGTTGTTCATGAAGTTGTGGACGAATCAAATATTCCGCTTCGGAGGTCCACAAGACAGCGGTTTCCTTCCTCCCGTTATTCACCCAATGAGTATATGTTACTCACTGACGGGGGAGAACCTCAATGTTATGAGGAGGCCATGGAAGATGAGCACAAGAATCAATGGATTGAAGTCATGCAAGACGAGATGAAGTCTTTGCATGAGAACCACACTTATGAGTTGGTAAAATTGCCCAAGGGCATGAGAGCTTTGAAGAACAAGTGGGTGTTCAAAGTTAAAGTTGAAGAACACAACTTGAAGCCCAGGTACAAAGCTAGATTGGTTGTTAAGGGATTCGGTTAAAGGAAAGGTATTGACTTTGACGAAATATTTTCTCCTGTTGTGAAAATGTCCTCGATTCGCACAATTCTAGGTTTAGCTGCTAGTCTTAATTTAGAGATTGAGCAGATGGATGTGAAGACGGCTTTTCTTCACGGTGACCTAGAAGAAGAGATTTATATGGAACAACCTGAGGGCTTCAAAGTAGATGGCAAAGAAAATTTTGTATGCAAACTCAAAAAGAGTCTCTATGGCCTAAAACAAGCTCCTAGACAGTGGTACAAAAAGTTTGAATATGTTATGGGGGAGCAAGGCTATATAAAGACTTCTTCAGATCATTGCGTATTTGTACAAAAATTTTCTGACAATGATTTTATCATCCTTTTGTTGTATGTGGATGATATGTTGATTGTGGGCAAAAATACTTCCAAGATTGGCGAACTAAAGAAAGAGTTGTGTAAGTCTTTTTATATGAAAGACTTGGGTCATGCCAAGCAAATTTTGGGCATGAAAATTACTCGTCTTAGAGATAAAAGGAAGATTTATTTGTCCCAGAAGAAGTAAATTGAACGCGTACTGGAGCGCTTCAATATGAAGAATGCTAAGCCTGTTAGTATACCTCTTGCTGGTCATATGAAGTTGAGCAAGAAGATGTGTCCTACAGCTAGGGAGGAAAAAGAGAACATGGCCAAAGTTCCATATTCCTCCGTCGTTGGAAGTCTAATGATGCAATGGTGTGCACTAGACCTGATATTGCTCACGCAGTTGGTGTTATCAGTAGATTTCTCGAAAATCCGGGAAAAGAGCATTGGGAAGCTGTGAAATGGATACTCAGGTATCTTAGAGGAAGCTCAGATGAATGCTTGTGTTTTGGAGCATCAAATCCAATCTTGAAAGGCTATACAGATTCTGATATGGCAGGTGACCTTGATAACAGAAAATCGACTACTGGATATTTGTTTACTTTTTCAGGGGGAGCTATATCATGGCAGTCAAAGTTGCAGAAGTGTGTTGCACTATCTACAACTGAAGCTGAGTAGATTGCGGCTACTGAAGCCGGCAAGGAGATGATATGACTAAAGCGATTTCTTCAAGAGCTTGGTTTGAATCAGATGGAGTATATTGTCTATTGTGACAGTCAGAGTGCAATAGACTTGAGCAAGAAATCCATGTACCATGCAAGAACAAAACACATTGACGTCAGATATCATTGGATTCGTGAGAAAGTGGAGAATGAATCATTTCACGTCAAAAAGATTCACACAAGTGAAAATCCTGCAGATATGCTGACTAAGATGATACCAAAAGACAAGTTCGAGTTATGCAAAGAACTTGTGGGCATGAGCTCTCTCTAAAGAAGTTGAAGATTCCTTCTTCCAGTAAATGGGACTGGAGGGGGAGATTTGTTGAATCCATCCCATTGTTTTAATCAACTTTAGCTATTCAATTGGTACAATCAATTGTTAAAAATGAATAGTAATTGGAGTTGAAAAGAAAAGATTTGGTAGTTGGCAAATTGGTAAAATTTGCAACCATTTTTGACTTTGCTATGTTTACATATGTCATTAGTGACATATGTATGGTTTTATCCTTCTACAAATAGAGCATTCTTGCTCATTTGTAGAACACACCAAGTTAGAGAGAAAAACCATTTTGAGAGCAAAGTGAGGTATTCCATATTCCATAGACTATATAAGAAAATAGTCTGTGAAGAAAAATAGAGTGTGAGCGATATTTAGTAAGACGGAAACCAAAAGAGTGTTGTTCCTTTTGAGTGTGTAGTAGTCACTTTGAGTGTTGTATTCGTGACTACACAGTGTAAAATTCCTTACTATAATAATATCAATTGCTCCTCTTGGCCCGTGGTTTTTTCCCTTATTCAGAAGGGTTTCCACGTAAAATTCTTGGTGTCGTTATTTTCCCATTTTATTTTCATTACTTTTACAATATTTACTTTTGTGCTTGTCCGCGTTTTCCCAACAAGAAGTATAGAGGTTCTTTCAAGAACTAGGGTACTTTCTTGGTGAAAGGCCTTTGGTTTACTAACATGGACATTCTTGGCACAGTGGATCCTGCAAAGGTGCACTATATCATGAGTGCAAATTTTCCGAATTTCCCTAAAGGGCTTGAACTCAAGAAGATCTTCGATGTTTTAGGCGATGGAATTTTCAATTCCGACTTGGAATTGTGGAAGAGTCAGAGGAAGCTCGCGAGAGAAATGATCATTCATATGAGATTCCACAAGTGTTTGGTGAAAACGAACGTTGACAAGGTCGAAAATGGCCTGATTCTGGTTCTTGAAATGAAGGCAGAGTTCTTGATTTGCAAGATGTTTTCAAGAGATTAACATTTGATACGACATGTGATCCTGACTGCCTCTCTCTTGAACTCGTGAACGTTCCCTTCTTGAATGCCATGGATGATGCTAAAGACGTATGTTTTCATACGCCATTTGTTTCCCGAAAGTGTTTGGAAGTTGCAACAATGGCTCGGATTTGAGCCTTAAAAGAAACTGAGCAAAGCAGAGGAAGACCTTGACCAAGTCCTTGGCAAGTATATATCGATGAAACGTGAAGAACTGAGCAATGCAATAAAATCAGAGGAAGATGACGAGGGTTATGATTTATTAACATCATACATGGTAAATGATGCAGAAACCAAAACAGGGCTAAAGTTTGACAACAAGTTCTTGAGGGATACCATACTGAACTTCATGTTCGCGGGGCATGACACAGTTGCCTCAGGCCTTACTTGGTTCATTTGGCTAGTTGTCACGAACCCCAGCGATTGAGAAGAAAATAAGGGAAGAACTTAAGGCAATTGTCTTGTTAGGAGAAGGCGAAAAACGGAGGCTTTTTAAGGCGGATGAAGTGAAAAATGCAATATATTTACATGCTGCATTGTGTGAATCGTTAAGGCTATATCCCCCTGTTGCAATCCAGCACAAGACTCCACTAGAACCCGATATTTTTCCAAGTGGACACCATGTTCATTCGAATATGAGAGTGATGATTCCGTTATATGCAATGGGGACGATGGAATACATATGGGGACACGACGCCTCAAAATTAAAGCCAGAGAGATGGATTTCAGATCGGGGAACCGTTAAACATGAGCCATCTTACAAATTCTTTTCTTTCAATGCAGGGCCAAGGACTTGCTTAGGGAAAGAAGTGGCATTTACTCAAATGAAAATTGTTGCTTCAACTATCATTCACAATTAACAAATTGAAATGGTAAAAGGCCATATTGTTTGTCCCAATATATCTTTTATGCTCTACATGAAACATGGCATTAAAGTTAGGATTAAGAGGAGGTGAAAATAGTAATTTATATGTGGAAGTATGTAGTCCACTCCATCTGTTTGATTTGTTTATCTTACATTCATTTTTAGTACGTTCTAAAAATAGTGTTTCTTTCCTTTTTTTTTTGATAACTCACATTGCCAAGGCTAACATCGAAGATTTTTAAGTAAAGTTATAACCTTAATAAATTCAAACTTCAAATATATTTTACTTTTTTTTTGTTATAGCTAAAATATAGGCAAGATATATTGTATAGTCAGTATATAACTTTCTATGACTTTTGGCAAGCTATATTGTATAATTAGTGTATAGCTAGCTAATGTAGTTGTTTTTTTTAATGATTTTCTTAGCTATTTTTAATATAATAAAATATAACTATATTTATAATAAACCAATTACCTTATTGCATATATTTAAACTTGATGGTTTGTAAAAGTAAATGCCAATCTTGTCCTCAATTATCATGGCAAACTATTTGTGTCCCTTACGCAACGGTGTCATGAGATAACAAGTGGCCAATTAAACTATTTTGATAGCTTAGACATTTAACAAAGGCAATTGCGAAGACTTTTTAATGACGACTAATGGATAATATCGTGTTCAACTTATCTGATATAACTAGTAATTAAAAAAAAAGGAATATATAAACCAAATATGAGTACTATATTGTTACTATGACTTTAGTTTTGTTGAAATAATTACGACTTTTGTAATCTTAAAAATAAAAACATGCTAGCTAGCTATAATCCATTATACAAATACAATAGTGAAGAGTGTATATATGAGCTTTAACTCACATATAATTAATTATAGGTAATCTCGTGATACAAATATTTTTACATTGTCGGTATGTATAACTTAAAACTTCAACCATATTCTCATCATGACTCTATAAAATACTAGAGAGTTTATCCATAAAGAATGATGTAAACCCCCAAAGTAGAGTAAACATTGAAATGGCTTTCAATTTTCTAGTATTAGCCTCAATAGGTTATATTGAAATATTTGTAGCAATTTTTTTATTTTTTTTTGTGTTGGCTTTTGGAGGAAAAGGTGATTTTGGGTGGAAATGGCCATTTTTTGGAGAGTTCCCAAGCCTTTTTTACCATATAAACACAATCCACCAAAGCCTTACAATATTATTTTCAAGAATTGGAGCTACTGCCTTTGTAAAAGGTCCATGTTTTGCAAATATGGACATTTTAGGGACAGTAGATCCTAAAAATGTACATTATATTATGAGTGCAAATTTTCAGAATTTTCAAAAAGGGCCAGGATTTAAGAAGATTTTTGATGTTTTAGGTGATGGAATTTTCAATGCTGACTTTGATTTGTGGAAGGATCAAAGGAAAATTGCTAAAACATTGATCACGCATCATACATTTCACAAATTTTTAGTGAAAACTAGTTGTGACATGGTGAAAAATGGACTTGTCCCGGTCCTCGAATTCATGGCTAAAGAAGGTATAGTTTTCGACTTACAAGATGTTTTTCAAAGATTCACGTTTGATACGACTTGTATATTAGTGACAGGGTTCGATCCTGGCTCCCTCTCTGTCGATCTTAACAACATTGCTTTCATGAAAGCAATGAATGACATGGGAGAGGTCATGGTCATACGTAATTTGTTGCCACGATGTGTTTGGAAGTTGCAAAAATGGCTTGGAATTGGGCCTGAAAAGAAATTACGCGATGCTAGGGAAGTCATTGACCGAGTTATAGGTAAGTATATAACAATGAAACGCGATGAATTGAGAGCTAAAGGAAAAAAATTGAACAAAAATGAAGAGGAGGAGGGTGTTGATTTATTAGCATCATACATAGCTAATGATGATGGAGAAACAAAAACAGGGCTAATGTTTGATGACAAATTCTTGAGGGATACCATATTGAACTTTATGATCGCGGGGCGTGACACAACTAGCTCAGGGCTTACATGGTTCATCTGGCTAGTTGTGACACACCCCGAGATTGAGAAGAAAATAAGGGAAGAACTCAAGTCAATCATCTCATTGGGAGAAGAAGGCGAAAAACCAAGACTTTTTAAGGGGGGCGAATTCAAAAATGCAATATATTTGCACGCGGCATTGTGTGAATCATTAAGGCTATATCCCCCCGTTCCGTTTCAACTAAAGACTCCACAAGAACCCGATGTTCTCCCGAGTGGACACCGTGTACATCCCAAGATGAGAGTGATGGTTATCTTGTACGCGATGGGGAGGATGGAATCGGTATGGGGAAAAGATGCATTGGAGTTCAAGCCAGAGAGATGGATTTCGGAACGAGGAACGGTGAAACATGAGCCATCTTACAAGTTCTTTTCTTTCAATGCAGGGCCAAGGGTTTGTTTAGGGAAAGAAGTGGCTTTCACACAAATGAAAGCTGTGGCTGCTTCTATTATCCATAATTATCATGTTGAAATGGTGAAAGGCCATGAGGTTTGTCCTAATGTATCTATTATCCTCTACATGAAAAATGGATTTAAAGTTAGGATTAGGAATAGGTGAACATAAACATTTATGTTTCTCCCTCTTTTCATTTTCTTTTGAACAGACGGTCAAAAAGACATTTAAAGTATTTTGGTTTTTTTTTTTTGAGTTTTATGTATGAACTTTCACCAAATATTTATCAAATTACACCAACTATCAATTATTCATTTTTTTCTACTTGAACGATTATGTTAGTTCAGGTAGGAAAAGATAGCAACGGATCGTTAAGGTGTGTTTTGATAAATAGTACGTTGGTAATAGTTTAGGTGGAAAATAAACTTGTACACCTAATAGTTCAGGTATGAAATTCAAAAAATCTGAGATATTATATATGTTTTTGATCATTAACTCTTATTTCCCTTTTTTGATGTACCTGTAATCCATTTAAGATTGGCATGTCGAAAACATTTTCGATGAAATTTTCATCAAAAATCTCTTAACGACGAGCTAATTTTGATGTTATGTTAAATTATATAACTATTTCACTATAACAAAAAAGAGCGGAGAAATCTTGAATCATTTCACCACCATTTATTTCAAACTGAATTAACTTTTTTAGTTGGAGCTATATAAGAGTTTTTTTTATTTGGGAAAATGCATAAGTATCCAAAATCTATAATCGAAATCTTAGAGACACCTATACTATATTAAAATCCTATTACCCCCAAACTTATAAATAATTTTCTACCCCTTTTCGGTCTACGTGACACTATCTTTTGGGTTCCGTGCGTGTTGATAATTTTTTCAATGTCAGTGTCACGTAGACCGAAAAGGGATAGAAAATTATTTATAAAATAAATTTAGGGGTAATAGGACTTTAGTAAAGTATAAGTGACTTTGAAATTTCGAACATATATTGGAAGGGTATTTGTGCATTTTCCTTTTTTTTTTCTTACATAAAAAATAAAAATCAGTCTATTAGTTTCCTTATATCTTCCCATTCCCCATCCAAGAGAAAAATAAAATAAAATGGGACACGACACAAGTACTTTTTTAGACTATGATTAAAATTTTAGACATATTTAATTACACTTAGGTCCTACTACCTTTCAAATATTTTTTTTTTGTAATTTTGTACATTGTTTTGATTTACGGAACATTCAAACATCTCTCACGCGTCTTGATTGTGTGGAATTACGGAGTGTGTAGTGCCACATAAGATAAAAAATGTATAAAATTACAAATAAATAAATAAAATCAAGAGCATAAGACCTAATTTATTTAAGATGTGTCTCTTACTATTTGTACCTTGTCCCAAAAAAAATATGAATTAAACAATAATTCTTCTTACTCGTCACTAGTTTATTTCATATATAAAAATAAAAATAATCAATACGTGCCGTATTTATCAGTACAGTGTTCATTAATTAATTATTATAAAAATAATTTGTGATAATGTCTCATTGCCATACAAAATAAAAGATGGAGAGAAATTTATTCTACCAACTACAGAGTCAAACTCTTTATTTCTTATTGCTTAGACCGAACATAAAATTAGATAATTAAAATAAATAATTATTTCACCTAACAAAAGAATATACGCTTTTAATGCTTTTAATATTTCATTTTGAAATTTTAGTAACTCAGTTGATTCGTTATTGTTATTATGGGTCCGTATCCCCCTCTTTGTGTTCTTCATATTATTTCCGAAAAAACATGTTCATATTTTGTGATACCCGACATTGGTGCTAGAATCAATATAACCGTCTATTGATATCAACTTCTTTATTTTCTATCTTTTTCATTATAATATTTTGAAAGTGTTTTAACTATATCGCTAGATTTATTAAAAAATAAATAAGATTTTTCAAATAAAGGGAATATAATTTGTTAATGAAATTACTCCAAAAATGGATTTGAAGAGATCTCATTTATATTCAACAATTGTCATGAATATAAATGTCTTTGGATCATGTTTAGGATATCATTTTATCGTGTATATATATGCCAACACATCAAAGGGATCACATTCCGATGGTATTATTAAATTTTAAAATAAAATATCTTTCTGATCTGATAGATGTTTATAATATAACTAATTATTTATTAATTACATATTGTTTGACAACTCAAAATTTTGAATATAATAAGGAATGACATGAGTTATGTACCAAAATATTTAAAAATTAGGACCACCAGGATCATTGTTGATATCATTATGCTATTTTTGTTATCATTACATAATTTTTAGTTAATATGTAGTGCATATAATTATAATATCCTAATATAGTAACAACGCGATTTTAAAAAAAAAAATACTGATGTTTAATTTAGTCATCAAATCAAAGAAATTAATATTTAATACTATATGAGTGAAATACTTTTTATAGTCATATGATATTTTTAAAAGTAAAAAAAAATAGTGTTACAATTTTTTAACAATTCAATCAATTAACAACAAAGAATAAACATACGATATTTATTAGAATATGAGGATATATAAACACTATTCGATAACCAATAACCTTTGAGGGTATATATATGTAAAAATGGAAGAAGCTTGTGGAAAATTTTCTTATATTTCTCTCCTCCCTATATTTCCTCTATATACTAGTATTAGTACAGAACAATCAAAGAAAAAGAATAAAAGGAAAATTTTCAGCTGTACACTTGTCCTAATCCTATACAAATAATTCTAACCACCTAACAAACTATGATTCTTTCTATGTTGAATATTGTGCTGCTCACGTGCTTGCTTTATCACAAAATATCTTCATCCAATGGTTGAGATTTCATCTATCAGATATATACTTGAATGGCTGAATTTCTTTCACGTGGCATGTTGAGGGGAACCTATGAAAAGATTGAACACTTTCCCTTTTTTGTGTCTAAAATCTCTAGACTTGCTTCACTATTTTTCCTTTCTTTCTTTCTGCTACTGATGGATAATGAAGCTAGTGAAGCATGGAACTTCTTCTTGCCAACATCCCCCTTCAAGTTGGAGGGGAGAGATGAGGGTGGTAATGACGAAACCCCCAACTTGGATAGTATTCCATGATGAGAAGAACCAGAGAGTGGTTTAGTGAACAGATCGGTGAGTTGATTCTTTGAAGGAGTAAACTGAAACGATATGAGACCCGAGATGTATTGTTGGCGCACAAAATGACAGTCAAGCTCAACATACTTGGTTCGCTCATGGAAAACTGGGTTGTGGGCGATATGAATCGCGGCTTGACTGTTGGAGTGAACTGGGACCGGTAATGAAGGGGAAATTGACAGATCCTCGAGCAAGCGAACCAACCAAGTTATTTCAGTTGTGACCTTCCGCATTGATCGGTACTCGGCTTCAGCAGAAGAAAGGGAGATCGAAGCTTGCTTCTTTGATTTCCATGAAATTGGAGAACCACCAAGAGTGATAAAAAAACCACTGATTGACCTGCGAGTGTCCTTGCAAGATCCCCAATCAGCATCGCAAAAAGCTAAGAGTTCCAAAGAAGGATCAGATGATAGAAGAATTCCTTGCCCTGGATCCAACTGCAAATATTTCAACACATGAAGTGCAGCAGAAAAATGGGAACGGCAAGGTCTTTGCATAAACTGACTGAGCTTCAATACAGGATAAGCTAAATCTGGACGGGTATGAGTCAGGTAGTTCATCTTTCCTATTAAGTGTCTGAAAATTGTAGGATCAGGAATGGGTATATCATCATCTGCTTGTAATTTAATAGATGGATCCAAAGGGGAAGTAACACTAGGAATATGTGAGCAATCAAATTCTTTTATTAGATCCAAAGCAAACTTGCGTTGAGTGATGATGAAGCCCTGTTTTTCTTGAATAACCTCCATACCAAGAAAGTAATTAATGTCGCCTAAATCTTTTACTTTGAATTCTGAATGTAAGAAAGACTTAATATCTGCAATCTCAGAAACATCATTTCCTGTTAGCAAAATGTCGTCAACATAAACGGCCAGAATAGAGACAAAATCTCCTGAGGTCTTGTAGAACAAAGAATAATCATTCAAAGATGATGTGTATCCCTTATAGGCAAGAGCACCTGCAAGCCTAGAATACCATTGACGTGAAGCCTGTTTTAAACCATATAGTGATTTTTTGAGTCGACAAACCTGATTAGATAAAGGTGAAATGAGACCAGGGGGAAACTTCATGAAAACTTCTTCTTCCAAAGATCCATGTAAAAAAGCATTATTCACATCTAATTGTGAAACTGTCCAATTTTTCTTCACTGCCACTGCCAAGAGGCATCTGATTGTTGTCATTTTGACAACAGGAGAAAAAGTCTCATTGTAGTCAATCCCTTCTCGTTGAATGTCCTCCCTCACCACAAGTCTAGCTTTAAATCTCTCTATTGATCCATCCGAATGAAGTTTTATCTTATATACCCACTTGCAAGGTAAAGCTCTCTTTCCTTTAGGCAAATCTACAATATCCCAAGTGTTATTTAATTGCAAAGCTGCAATCTCTGTATCCATTGCAGCTTTCCACTCAGGATGTCCTGCAGCTTGAGAATAACTGGTAGGCTCAGAGTAGGAGTTAAGAGAATGAAAAAATTGTTGGTTAGGCATAGATAGAACATTGAAAGAAAAACTAGAAGAAGGAGGAGGGAAAGTAAAACATGAATCGGTGAGGTTGGTAAGGTAGACACTGTTACAGACAAAATCATGTAAATAACCTGGTCTATGTGAAATCCTTCCTGATCTTCTCAGGGGACTAGGTTCTGTTGAAGTAACAATTGTCTCTTGTGAATGCGGCATGTTAGAATCAATGTGGTCAGAAGGAATATGTTGGGGTATTTGAATGACTTGAGAGACGTCTGAGGTTGTGTCAAAATAAGGACTAGTGGATGGGAAAATAGGAGAAGATGACAGAGAAGAAGAGTCAGCAAAAGGAAAATTATTTTCATAAAATATGACATCCCTAGAAACAAAAACCTTTCTGGTTTTGAAATCCATAACTTTGTATCCTTTTTGCCCTTGTGGATATCCTAAGAAAACACATTTTATAGCTCTAGGGTCAAATTTTCCTCTTCCTTGAGATAGAGTTGAACAATAACAAAGACAACCAAATGACCTCAAAAATGAATAAGAAGGTAATTGATTGAAAAGAACTTCATAGGGTGTTTTTCCTTTCAAGACTTTTGAAGGAAAAATATTAATTAAATGTGTTGCAGTAAGAACACACTCACCCCAGTATGATATAGGAAAATGTGATTGAAAAAATAAACCTCTTGCAACTTCTAATAGGTGACGGTGCTTTCTTTCTACCACCCCATTTTGTTGTGGGGTGGCTACACAACTTTGTTGATGTAGAATCCCATGTTCTTTCAAGTAAGCAGCTTCATGAGTTCCCTTTCCAAGTTCCAAAGCATTATCAGACCTTATGCACTTAACCTTTTTGTTAAACTATCTCTCAACCATAGACAAAAATGATTTCAAAACAGGAAAAGCATTACTTTTAGTACTCAACAAATATGTCCAAGTTCCTCTACTATAATCATCCACAATAGTAAGGAAGTATTTGTATCCATTGTAGGTAGCATTCTTATAAGGACCCCAAGTATCAATGTGTATCAAATCAAAAATTCCTGTTGTTTTTATAGAGCTAATAGGAAAAGATGATCTAGTTTGCTTAGATTGAGGACAAACATGACATATAAACTCAGAATCAGGAGACAACTTGATAAAATTGAGATGTCTCATTGCTGAAAGGGGCAAATGCCCAAGTCTAATATGCCAAAGGCTTACATCTGGAATAGCATTAGCAATAACTGGAGTAGAAATGGAATTTCTTCCTTTTGGATTGACAACACTTAAACTAGACTTAGGGATAGCAGGTTCCAAAAGATATAATCCTTCTCTAAGTTCACCAAAAGCTATCACCCTCTTCATTAAAAGGTCCTGCAATAGACAATGTCCAGAAGTGAATAAAACATTCCATTTGATTTGATCACTAAGCCTATGCACAGAGAGTAGATTATACCTAAACACTAGAACATACAGTACATTAGTGAGAGTGAGATTAGGCAGAATAGACACACTACCTATGTGAGTGACAGTTACCTTGAAAGAATTAGGTAAACTAATATTTAAAGGAAACTGAAGAGGAGTCATAGAAGAAAAGGAAGAAGCATCAAAACACATGTGTTCTGATGCTCCTGAGTCAATGATCCAATTTGTTGATTTAAAAACAGAAAAACATGTGCCTGAATACTTAAGAATAGTACCAGCAATTGCATTTGCACTAATTTCTGCAGTAGAAGTTGATTTTGACATGTTCATTGCATTGAACATTTGAGCAATTTGATAGATTGAGCTTATGGCTCTGATACCATGTAAAAATGGAAGAAGCTTGTGGAAAATTTTCTTATATTTCTCTCCTCCCTGTATTTCCTCTATATACTAGTATTAGTACAGAACAATCAAAGAAAAAGAATAAAAGGAAAATTTTCAGCTGTACACTTGTCCTAATCCTATACAAATAATTCTAACCACCTAACAAACTATGATTCTTTCTATGTTGAATATTGTGCTGCTCACGTGCTTGCTTTATCACAAAATATCTTCATCCAATGGTTGAGATTTCATCTATCAGATATATACTTGAATGGCTGAATTTCTTTCACGTGGCATGTTGAGGGGAACCTATGAAAAGATTGAACACTTTCCCTTTTTTGTGTCTAAAATCTCTAGACTTGCTTCACTATTTTTCCTTTCTTTCTTTCTGCTACTGATGGATAATGAAGCTAGTGAAGCATGGAACTTCTTCTTGCCAACAATATATGGAAAAATCCTTCTCGTTAGAAAAATTTATCAGAATGAAAAAATAACATATTTCACCCTATGTTATTTTATCTTTTGAACATTTCTATTCTTTTAACTTTAATACATTTTAATTAAAAAATAGAAAAAGAATTAGTTTATTTTAAAATAAAAAGGATATTATAGACTTTTCAAATTTATAGCCAAATTCTGATCAAATTTTCTGGCCATTTAGCATTACTCGTCCTATATTACGCTGTTAAACAAAGTTATACTACTCAATTAATTACTCATCATAGCTATAATTTGCTATAATTATCACTCGCAACTAACATTATACATTAATTATGCGGGCTGACTTCGAGCTTGTAAATAAATAAAAAAACTGAATGTATATGGTGAGAAACTGAAAAACCAAAGGAAATCTTCGTCATATACAAATATAAATCATCGTATACAAATACAAATCAAAAGAAGAATAGCTAGCTGTGAATTATACAAATGTGCTTAATTATACAATTCGAAGTCAACTCATGTAGTTAATGGTCCATGTTAATAATTATATCAAACTATAACTATAATAAATAATTAAGTAATATAAATTTGTTTATCAACAACTTTTTTAACAACTTTAAAGAATATTGCAATGTTGATGAGTATAGTTGTCCATTTTCCCTTTATAATAACTAACCAAAAAATCATCATGATGTATAAGCATTTATTATTTTGAAAATATCTTCTGAATAATTAAATAATTACCCAAACGGCTCTTACTACAAATTTATTAGTCTAAGAGAGCTATATATGTAGATAATGCGTGCAAGTAATATTTTAAAAAAGTTCCACAGCTAGCATTGAGCCTTGTAAATGTCATCATAGCCAGTGAAGCAAGAAAAGAAAAACCAATTAAAAGGGCAAGAAGACATAGTAATATGATGTGCACTCATCTTTTTTATAATCAAATCTTTCTTGGTGGCAACAACACATCCAATTTGTCTCAACATTCCATATAACTTATTTTTTCAATGTATGTTATTTATATTAAAATTCGATAAATTAGAATTTGTATATTATATGATTTCAACAGAATATTTTTCATCGTCAAAGATTTGAATTCAAAATTTTTAAGAGTCGAGGCTAAGAATCACAAAAAGGGTGAATTTATTTATATATATATATAAAATATATATATATATATATAATATTATCTGTTGACACCTATGCTACCATAATACTCAAAATTGTCCACTTTTTTTTAATGTTGATGGTGCCCATTCTATCTTTTCCTATTCCAATCTTTCTTGGTGGCAACAAACATACAATTTGTCTACATTTATTATTTTTTTTTATTTTTTCGATATTTATATTAAAATCTAATTAAATTTAAATTTATCTATTTTAAGCTTCATTTTAATAGCACGCTTCGAATAATATACTCTAATATATTAAGGGGAGATCTCAATCTTCCCATTCAATACAAAATACAGCAAGCAAAAAGCACTTCTCTCCTAATTATTCTATAAAAACATAATCCCAAACAACACAACTTCTCTCCATCAAAAAAATAAATAATCTCCTCTGTCTCCTTATAAAATAGTTTCTTTATATTTATTTTCCTTGTTCATACTCTTACAATGGAATATCACAAAGAGGTAATTAAGAGGCTATCTTTGTTAATTAATCCACATATTGTTGGCTGCCTTCTTGTTAATTTTGTTGCTAATTTTTTGATAATCACATGATTTCCTTGTTTATTCCTTCTTCAAAAATAAGATAAACATTAGGTTTCCATCTTTATTTTCTTGTTCTTAATCTTTCTTGTTTTCCTAGTATATATGTTTTTATTTGCGACTTATAACTTCTCTGTCTTGTCAAACTTCTAAAATTTATTTATTTTAATTGGCCATTTTTTAAAAGTACTTTTAATAAGTATTATTTTATGTTATCATTTGACTAATATTAGAATAACAAATTGTGTTTGATAGCTTTTGCTACTTTTTAAAAGTATTTTTTTCTTCTAAGAACTTTGACAAACACATCAATTCTATAAAATATACTGTATATATTTTTTATTTTTTATTTTTACAAATTTTAACTTCTCAGAAATTTGGCCAAATAAACTATTAGTCTAGCTACTAGCACTATTAAAAAACACCGGAATTAGCTATGAATTTTGTCATTAGTCCGTCGCTATTTTACTCATAGCTAACGAAATCTTTCGTTAGTCATTGTTCAATAGGATTAGCGATGGATTGCGTTGTTTATATATAGTTACAAAATTTATCCGTCGCTAAATTCATTTTTTTTAAAGTAGTGTAGGAAATTTATTGGTGGTTCAACTTTTTAAAGAAGTTATTCATTTTTTAATTGATATTGGTTGTAGATTAATCAATTTATAACATATTTGATATTTCTAAAAATATAAAAAATGTTACATATTAATTTATTGATGGTAAGCTTCTCTCTTTTTGTGCAGAAGAAGAATGGACCATGGCTATCTGTGCCACAATTTGGACATTGGGATCAAAAGGGTGTCTACCCTGACTACTCAATGGATTTTTCTAAAATAAGAGAAAATAGGAAACAAAACAAAAAGGACTTATCAAGAGCCAGTTTTGGAAATGAGAATGACCTCATTTTCTCTACCAAAAGTGATGCAAATGAGAATGATCATCATTACCATCAAAACCAATCTACAACTGTAAGATTTATAACTATTTTTTTTTTTTGTGTTAGTGAGATCTATAGATCATGCGTTTAAGCTGTGACATCACAACTGACATTGTGTTAGGATAAATTGTCTACAACTCACCTCCTTGGATTATGGACGTTTCATGTACCTTGTGTAAATGCATAATGCATTGTGCACTAGGTTATCGTCATTTAATTTGAAGAGGACAACCTCATAGCAATAATAAAATTTGTCTCTACGTGACTTTAGGTCATGAGTTCAAATCATGAAACGTGCACTCGTTTAACTTTTAGTTTGTTGTGTTTTTACCATCTTTAGATAATATCATTACTTATAGGGTTTTTAATTAATATTCCAAGATGTATATGGTATATAATATATGAATAAGATAAATAGTTAAGACATAATTTTTGGAAAAGATATAGTGGGGTACACGTTGTTAGGACCATTGTTGAGGATAATGCTTAGTTGTCCATGTATAAATGTTGACCTTGTTGATCATTAGATGGCAATGAACCAAATAGTCTTTTATAATTTGTTTGACTTAGTTCTAATTATGAAATATAACAATTGGTTTACTAATTAAACAAAATGAAAAATTTTCTTAGGAGTGTGGCTTAACGATCAATAATATGAAAATTATATATTTTTGAGTGATTTAATGCTATTTTTGAAAAATCTAAACAATACTGAATATGAAGGTTACATACTCTTCTTTTGCATGTTTTAGCATAGTGAACTATAAAAGTAATTGTTAATTTAATTTTTATTTTCTCTTGACAGAGGATGAGAAGGATCTTTAGATATTTCAATTGCTGTGGAAAAGCTTGAAGTTCATGGAATTGATTTTTCATCCAATTTCCTTGTAATGAAAATATAGTAATTTGTGATTTCTACCTAAGTTTTGAGTGACTTTTATAAGAAATAGGAAAATGTTATAAATTTTGGAAATTGTGGTGATTGTTTCTTAACATCCTTTGCTTCTCTTGGGTACATTCGAGATTGATCTATACGTAATTTGATCGAGTATATTGAACCTTCAAATTAATATAGACGTACAATTTTAGCCTCTTCAGTTGATAGAAGTTAACAAATTAACGAAATCAATTAAAGTTGTAGATATAAAAAACTTGTTTATATTCAATTATTTTTAGCCAAAACAATGAAAATTCACATTGTGTATCTCTTATATATACATAATTTGTTCTATATAATTTTAGATGTAATGGTATTTGTGTTTGTTTTACATTATTTTGGCCAAATTTGTAATAGATTTAACTAAAATTTGATCATTTTTTCTGAACAAGGAATAAAAAAAAAAAGATGCCTAAATAGTGGAGTTGTAAAAGTTTTCTTTTGGCTTGTAAAAGATGATTTAAATAAATTTAATAATAGGGAAAAGTGGCAAAATATTCCTTAAAGTAAATATACCCTCCTTAAAAAAGTAACACATTTTAAAAAAAAAAAAACTGTCGTGGTAAATGAAAAATGGAAGAGGGAATTATAATATACGGAATAACTATTGTTACAAAGTGAAAGTTCATCTAACTAACTAAACTCTATATGTATCTTCGTCGTATCACAAATATAACAAATGTTTCATTTTCGTTAATAGACTTACACTTCATTTTAATTTATTTGCTCTATTTTTAATTTATTCCAAAAGAAATTTGTTTTCTTTTTAATAATTCTTTAATTCCGTCAAAATGAAACAAATAAATTACTTTCTCCGTTTCAAAGAGAATGACCTATTTCCTTTTTAGTCTATAAAAAAAAGAATGATTTTTTTCTTTTCTGAAAACACTTTAACTATAGGCTTAAGTCATCTACGACCACTTAAAGTTGTCTACATATTTCACTTAAACACTTCAACATATTCATTTTCCTATTAGACACTTCAACCTTAAAAAATAAATACCTATCAAACATTTTTCTGACACCTAGTTAAAAAATGAAGTGCGTGCAACACACACGCAGTTGATGTGGCAAAATAACAAATTAAACTAGGACATGTGGCATTTTAGTTTAATTATCTTAAATAAATGAAATTAAAATACCGAAAAATCTAAATCTAAAAAATAAAAGAGTTTCAACCAGAAAAAAAATATGAAAAATCCACCTCACCCCACCCACCCCAAACCTCCCCTTCTTCTCTTTCCCTTAAAGATAACCCTTTCCATCATTGTTGTTGTTCATCTAAAAAAAAAATGGAGATTTTAACATATACTAACTAAGAATTTTTCATTTTTATTTCTCTTTATCCCGTCTTTTTGTTCCTATTTGAAATTGATGTTATTTTTTTACAAAAAGTACGTTTTTCCTTATTAATTTTGATTTCGAATTTGGTTTCTACCTTGTTGTGGAAGAAGAAGGGGTCGTGTATGCGTCTCCATTTTTTCTGGTAAGGAGATGTGGATGATAGCCTTTGTTTTTTCCAGCAAAAAAATATGGATGGTGGTATTATTTTTTCCGACAAAAAAAATGTCAAGATATAATTTTAGATCTGAAAAATTAAAACAATGACAAGAAGAAAAAAAAATGAAGAGGAGTCCTTGTGTATGATAACTAGGGTTTATCTGCTCCAATTGAAAATTACTATTAACAAAATAAAAATATGATAAAACAACATATTAAGGCTTGGAATGTAAGGAATAAAGTGATGTTTGGATTTATTATTGCCTTGGAATTCTTAGCAAATCTAAGTATAAACCTAGAAGAAGTAAATTTGTAAAAAAATGTTAAAAAAATAATGAGAAAAGAAGTTTGAAAATTGTTGATTAAATGATTCACGCGCTCATTAAGGCGTGAATCACACTTTTTTGCCACATGTGCACAACGTGTTTAAATGGTTTAAATTCAGAACAGTGCAGGTGTTCAATAGATATAAATCCTACTTAAAGTGTTTAAGTGAAATATGTGGACAACTCTAAGGGGCCGTCTATGACTTAAGCCTTAACTTTATACGTGACATGTTTAAGATCAAGGACTTTTTGATACATTTAATTTAGAATCACAAAATAATTTTTTTTTTTAAAATTCCGTTTCAAGTTAAATTAGGCCAAACGAAAGAAAGCAGTATTACTCCTGAATTTGTGTGTGTGGTGGTTTAAACCAACACACCAAACCTTATCAACAGAGCTTTTAGTTATCCCACAAAATTCCCCCAATTTTTTTATTTTTAAGAAAAGAAAAATGTCAAATTCTACATCATCTCTCTTCACTGCGCCTTCTCAATTTTTAGTACAATGTAATAATCCATTAATTATTTCTGGAAAATTGAGCTTCAAAATTCGAGCTTCAGCAGCTTCTTCTTCTTCTCCTTCATCAACTGGTGTTGTCGATCTATCCACTCTCCGAACCGCCATTTCTAAGGTACATTCCCTGTTTTTAATCGAAAATTTTAATCTTCTCTCCATTTTGTGCGTATTATAATTGTTGTCATTTTTGAGGTTTGTGTCGGTAATTTTTTTTTGGATGGAAAGAAAATTTGCCGCCGCTATCTTTTGGGACACATAGGAGTGAAAACCCTGCTAAATAATTAAGACATAATACATGAACATGAGACACAAGTAGGGTGTGCATAAGTAATGTTTAAACTCGTGTAAAATTGAACAAATAGATACATAACAATTTTGTGTCCTACGTGGTGATCTATGTGTGTACTACCACATAAGACAAGTGTGTCTACTTATTTAATTTTGTATAAGTTTAAGTGTCTGCTAGTGTATTCTCTGATTTGGAGCACATAGTTGTTGGTTGAAACCAAGTTAAGGATCATGTTTATGTATTATATCAATAATTAATGATGCTCCAATTTAGATATGGAACTCGCAAATAAGTGATGTTTGCAGTGTCTTTTTTTTTTTGGCAATTACTCCTAACTGTTTTATGTGCATATTTTCTTGATTGTAGAAAGATAGTAATGCCGTAAAAGAGGCGCTTGATCAGCTAGTTGAAATCGGTTGGTCCAAAAAATGGGGTTCTCAACCATATGTGTCACGTCGAACGGTCAGTTTTCATTTAAAATGTGAAAAGACCAATGTGTATCTATCTGTTATCTAATTTATTTGATTAGCACACATTGTGACAATAATTCTCTTAATGGTCTTAAAATTTTCTGTTGCAGACATCTCTTAGAGAGCTGACAACTCTCGGAATAAAGAACGCAGAGAACCTTGCAATCCCAAGTGTCAGAAATGATGTAAGTTTCTTGATGAAATTTGTATTGTTATTACGTTGATGACAGTAGCTCTCGATTCGGATATTGTTCTGTATTCTGATTGAAGAGAACTGTATGTTCACATGGGTGCGATAACTAAGGGGAATATTTGAGCTAACGTCGTGTTTATGGCACATGTATTGTTCATCTGTTTCATACACTGGAACATTGGTATCTCTACGATCATGAAATGAATATCTGACTACACATTTATTACATTTCTTTCGTGTCCCTACAAATGATTTCATGGTTCCAATTGTTGTTACTTGGAACATCAAAAGTTGTTTGACAACGGATGATTAATGTGGTTATGTCTTTTTCATTTGACTGTTATGGACTTCGTTATTAAATCTGTTTGATACTGATTTCCTTCAGTGATGCAGGCAGCTTTTCTGTTTACAGTGGTAGGCACAACTGGGTTTTTGGGAGTTCTTGCAGGGCAACTTCCTGGTGTATGTTCTCTTACTATCCTACTTTTCTGCTGTTCATTGTCCTATTTGTTTAACTCTGAAGTTTCATATTACATCTAAACTGTGGTTTATAAGCCTCATTCTCCCTGTTAAGTTTGCAAATAACGCACTGGATATGGGGCCTGAGTCTTTCATTTGGTTCTATTGTTATAGTCAATCTAGATAACTATATCTAGTTTGGTTTCGTGGGATTACAATCTCTTGATTTATTATCTGGATGTAAACCAAGTTGACAATCCTAAGAGGTGTTGGGGTGGTATTGTAGTTCAACACCCCACGTCTTTCTAACTACTGACCACTTGTTTAATAGTGTGAATAACCCTATGTTGCTCAGACTCTTCAAAAATGCCAAAGGATGCGTGTCGGATTCGCCAAAAGTAGTGTATTTTTGGAGAATCCGAGACGGTGCGGCATCAAAAGTGGAGAGTCCGCGCAACTAAGGAATCACCTCATCGAAAAGGTTAATTTGTTAAATAGACAAAAGTTTTTGTTTGTTCTTTACAAATTAAGATGTCTCACACCCAAGGGTGTGACTAAGTGGTCAATGAAGTGAGTTGCACGGAGGCAAAAAGCACTAGGTGGTTCTTTCCATTTTGTCACCAAGCCTTGGTGGGTAGAATACCCTCTATGCTTGTAGCAGGAACTCCATGAAATTAGTCGAGAAGAGTAATAACATGTTCCCATATGTCTGCACCAGAACATTTTTATTCGGAACCTATATAAAGATATCACCGATGTATTTTGTGTCGACATAGAAGTACTAGTGCGGGTTATTCGCGAAAGTGTAACAATGCACACAATTCTCAGATAATTTTGTTCGCCTTGGTGTTACTCCAAAACCAAGATGGGTTGTGAAGTACAGTGATGTTACTGTGTATCTGTATAGAACATATACATGCAGGTCACATTGTTGATTCTTTCTTTATGTTTTCAGGATTGGGGTTTCTTCGTTCCATACTTGATTGGGAGCATATCTTTAGTAGTTTTGGGAATCGGAAGTACTTCCCCAGCGTAAGTAAAGATTTTAGGTGTTCTTCTGATACTAATAATGCATTATACTATCTATTCAGTTGAGCTTTTTCTACTGCATGCAGGTCGTTATGGCTCATTCTTTTATTCATTATGTAGGCTCCTTCAGGCCGCCATTGATGGATTTTCATCCTTTTTTCCTGATTACCAGGAGAGAATCGCCAGACATGAAGCAGCTCATTTCTTAGGTGGCATCCTGTTTTAGTTTTCAATATTTTATACTTTTATTTTTATTTGGCTATGATAATGACATGA